TGACCATGTTTGCCCATCTCCTGAAATTTAAGAATTTAAAAAAAAATCGTTTGCCCACCTCTTAAAAATAGTTAATTTTGACAAAAACGTTTGCCGACGGCTTAAACACGAGATTTTTAACAAAAACGTTTGCCCACCCCTTAAAAATCGTTTTTTCGAAAAAATAAAAAATGACCATGTTTGCCCATCTCCTGAAATTTAAGAATTTAAAAAAAAAATCGTTTGCCCACCTCTTAAAAATAGTTAATTTTGACAAAAACGTTTGCCGACGGCTTAAACACGAGATTTTTAACAAAAAACGTTTGCCCACCCCTTAAAAATCGTTTTTTCGAAAAAATAAAAAATGACCATGTTTGCCCATCTCCTGAAATTTAAGAATTTAAAAAAAAAATCGTTTGCCCACCTCTTAAAAATAGTTAATTTTGACAAAAACGTTTGCCGACGGCTTAAACACGAGATTTTTAACAAAAAACGTTTGCCCACCCCTTAAAAATCGTTTTTTCGAAAAAATAAAAAATGACCATGTTTGCCCATCTCCTGAAATTTAAGAATTTAAAAAAAAATCGTTTGCCCACCTCTTAAAAATAGTTAATTTTGACAAAAACGTTTGCCGACGGCTTAAACACGAGATTTTTAACAAAAAACGTTTGCCCACCCCTTAAAAATCGTTTTTTTTCCAAAAATAAAAAATGACCCCATGTTTGCCCATCTCCTGAAATTTAAGAATTTAAAAAAACGTTTGCCCACCTCTTAAAAATGGTTAATTTTGACAAAAACGTTTGCCGACGGCTTAAACACGAGATTTTTAACAAAAAACGTTTGCACCAGCCCTTAAAAATCTTTTTTCCAAAATCAAAAGCATCAGCAGCAGTTGTTTGCCGGGTCAGCAGATATTCCCCAGCTACACGCACCCTTTGCCACCGATGAATGCACCGAATCCCACCCAACAGTCCCCCTATACGCCGGGTCTAATGAGTCGTTTCAGAAGTGAGAGTGATTTTTATTTCGAGTCCTTAATCCCTACATAATTTTTAAATATTCTCTTCAAGAACGCAGGGAGCGTATGTCCAAGGACCAAAAGGAGCTTTACGTCAAGTTTTTCGAAGATAATCCCTGTATGCTGTCGAACCACCGCCGCCACGATGGCCTTACTGAACCTCTGTGGGCCAAACTCGCCCACATGTTAAACAGTGTGCCCCAAGGAGCTGTGAAGAACGTGGAGGACTGGAAGCAAACCTTCGCCGCCTGGCGCAATCGCATCTTCATGTACACGCGCTACAATTCCAAGCTGAGCATGTCGGAGACGAGCGATCCGAAGAACTTCAAACCACTGACAGCCACCGACCAGAAAGCATACGCCATGTGGACCAGCCACAAGCACATAGCGCCGCAAGACTACGTGCCTCTGGACGAGACCACCACGACCACAAACAGCTACGACTATTAAATCGGGATCAAAGTGCAAAGGATTAAACTGTTAATTTGTACTTTATTTAGTGCTAAGCGAGAAATATATTATAATTTAAGATAACGAAACTGCGTTTTTGTTGTTGGATAAGATTAGTTATAAGACCTATTGATCATCATATTAAGCTTTATAACCTAAATGATGTATTTATTTTTTCCAGTGTATGATGTTGCCTTGGATAACTATGTGCTGAATCGCCAGTGCCGCTGTGCTGACCAAAAAATGCTCAACGACTCGCCGACGCCCGAGGAACCCACCAATCTGTGCCAGCCCAGCAATGTCCTGGAGGCCGCGCCCACTCCGCTTATGGCTCTGCCGCCTTGCGACGACGAGGAGCACGATCATGAGCACGAGCACGAGGAGAGCATGAAGTACCGGATCGATAAGGCCAGCAGCGGAGCCGCATCGGCGGAACTGGGTATGCCCGCCTACGAGGCCTGCTCGCCCAAGATGGACTATGATACGCAGGACGAGCTGCCTGACTCGCCGCACTCGCAGCCGCTGCCACCACCGCCTTTGCCCGCGGCCCTGCCGCTTCCACCGCCGCCCACCTCGCATCCCCAGCATCTGCAACAGCAACAACACGACGAGGAGCAACAGCAACTGTTGCAGGAGCGCATCCAGCACGAGTACATGAATCAGCAGCAGCAACATCAGCATTTGCAACAGCAACACCAGCATTTGGCCCTCCTGCAGCAGCAGCAACATGAACAGCAGCAACAACAACAGCAACATCCGCAACAACAGCATGGAGTCAACATGGCCATTGGCACGACCACAACAAACAACATTCGACGTAAGTGATCCTCGTAAAACATTATACAACCAATTAAAATAGTGACTCGTTAAAGAATTAACAGCCAATTGTTGGGTGTTGAAAAACTAACATGAAAATGGGTCAAAATTTTGACCAACGTTCAAATGAAAATTTTGAATGCAGATTTTCAGAGAGTCGAGACACAATTCTTTAGAGGTATTCCACTTTGAAATCGGATTAAATTTGGTAAAGTTATGGAATCTGGAAGTCCAATTATTGGACCTCTTTTTTTAAGTCATCGAAAACTTAGAAATAACTAACATGAAAATGGGTCTAAATTTTGATCAACGTTAAATGGTGAGATTCTGCAGCTGGACTGGTCGCTCTCATTGCGGATTTTTTGGCTTATGGGGAATGTGGGCGAGCGACCGAAATGGGCTTATGATTTTTCTTTGTTTACAAATATGTTGTTATTGTTTTCCTTTGATGGGCCTGAATTCAACGTCCACACGGGGCCCACATTTCAGTTGGGCTTGAATTTGATTTCACATGAAAGGCAACAAGTGGGACGGAATTAAAATCCTTATGGGAGTAAATTTATATTGTTTTTAGGAACTAATTTATTTAATATTGGGCCAGGAAAAATTATAATATTTTATATTGTGTTCATATACCTAAATTAAATTAAATATTAATTTATATGTACATTTATATTGTTTTAATTAGTTTTTTATACCCTTGCAGAGGGTATTATAATTTTGGTCAGAAGTTTGTAACGCAGTGAAGGAGACGTTTCCGTTTGTATATATTCTTGATCAGGATCAATAGGGGAGTCGATATAGCCATGTCCGTCTGTCCGTCTGTTTCAATACCGTTTGCGAGCTCAGTTTAAAAGCTAGCGATCTGAAACTTTCACAATCATCCTAAAACATGTGCACGCAGATCAAGTTTGAAAATCGGACGATCGGACGTCTATATCTTATAGCTCCCATAGGAACAATAGGGTGAATTCGGTCCAAATTTGATGATTATCAGAATATTTCGCGCAGTGTGTAAGCTACTGACATCAATTTTTCCAATTCTTATTTATTTACGCATATGTATCTTGATTAGGGTAAAAGCGCTTGCCGTTCGGAAGTCTATATCTTAAAGCTTCCGTAGGAAAAATTGTTAAAGGCTGCGAAAGTATCCATTTTTTTCTATTTTTATATGACATTTTTGCAGTATAAAAGCAATTGAAATCAAAAGATCTAGTTTATTTATGAATACCTTATTCCTTTCGCCACTTTTTCAGTTTTAGCAATTTCGGCAAAGTCTGCAAGGGTATTAAAACTTCGGCTTGCCGAAGTTAGCTTCCGTCCTCGTTTTTACTTCAAACGTTTCATGTAAATTTCTGATATTTTAGAGATGATTTTGTAATAATTTCAAAAATTTTGATGCATTTCCGTAAGCAGGACACAGGGCGACGTAGGCCAATGCACGAAACAGGAACCCCGCTTGCGACTATTTTACAGGTCGTAAAAATTGTTTGAAACAAAAAATTCAAAAATTTTCTTATTTAGTATGAGTGTAATTATGGAATAGACTACTTTTATCGAAATTGAATAAAAAGTAACATGATTCCGAACTTATTTGGTCGGCCGTATACAGTGGTAATTGGTTCTAGATTTAAAGAAAATTATTTAATACGAATCGCATAAAATTTGGACTATTAATTACTGAAATCTGTGTTTATTACTTAAACAAAAAAAAACCATAGGTAGGGATTCGGCATTTATTCAATTCAGTTTCCACATTTCAGATGGGCATGAATTCAACGTCCAAATTTCTTACTCAATTACGGACGATAGGCACAAAGCGGACGTGAGAATACTGTGAAAATTTGTATAATTCGCGTGTGGTGTGGGCGCATTGAAAATGGTGCTGCGATCGGGGATTATAATTCCGTTTCAGTTTCGCGACACAAAGAAGCTGCTGATGATCGGGGATCCCGAGGAGAACCGTAACCTGAACATATGGGACCTGAAGAACGTGGGTAAGCAGTGGTGTGGACGAGGAGGGGGGCTCGCAAAATACGGAGCCCTTTCAAGTAAAAGATGTAGAAAAACATGGAAAGCAATCAAAACATATCCCGCCCTCCACAGTGCGCGCCGCCTTCGGGATCCACAACTTTGAGTTCCGCAACAAGAAGATCGGCTTCAACATCCCGGACGAACTGTTGCTGCACTATCTGGCCCAGAGGCACGACCTCACCAACTTCGTTATAGAGATCAGTCAAGGTAAATAGCGTTTAAGTTACGGCTAAGTCGCGTTTCAATTAGCGTTTAAGTGACTGTTGGAACTCCGGAGTCGTAGTTTTCCGGGCATTTCTTAGATCCGTTGTGTTTATGTAGACGCGGCGTGCGCTTCGCTTTTAAGTCTCTGCAATTGCCATCTGTAATAAAACCCAAATTGTAAAATGTTCCCTCTTGCAGCCCTGGAGGATGGCCACGCCAAGGAGCTGCCCTCCTGCTCGATGGCTGCCCTGAAGCAGCAGCACCTCCAGGCCCATCACCCTCATCAACTCCGCCTAGGTCAGGCCTACTCGGAGCGGACGCCCGAATCGCTGACCCAGTCCATTGACCCCATGGATATCATACCCGAGGCGGAGTCCGAGTCGGAGGTGGACTATGATACGCAGGACGAGCTGCCTGACTCGCCGCACTCGCAGCCGCTGCCACCACCGCCTTTGCCCGCGGCCCTGCCGCTTCCACCGCCACCCACCTCGCATCCCCAGCATCTGCAACAGCAACAACACGACGAGGAGCAACAGCAACTGTTGCAGGAGCGCATCCAGCACGAGTACATGATTCAGCAGCAGCATCAGCAGCAGTTGCTGCCGGGTCAGCAGATATTCCCCAGCTACACGCACCCTTTGCCACCGATGAATGCACCGAATCCCACCCAACAGTCCCCCTATACGCCGGGTCTAATGAGTCGTTTCAGAAGTGAGAGTGATTTTTATTTCGAGTCCTTAATCCCTACATAATTTTTAAATATTCTCTTCAAGAACGCAGGGAGCGTATGTCCAAGGACCAAAAGGAGCTTTACGTCA